TCTTCCTCAGATCTTATCACAATCAGCTCCAAATTCTGAAGTGTATAACTGGGTATAAAAGTCTATCCATCCATCCATTATCTGACACGCTTGTCCCAATTGGGGTCCCGAGGGGTGCTGGTGCCCATCTCCAGCTCTCAATAGGCGAGAGGCGGGGTACACCCTGGACAGGTCGCCAGTCCATCGCAGGGCAACACAGAGACAAACAGGACATACAACCATTCACTCACACACTCACATCTAAGGAGAATTTAGAGAAGCCAATTAACCTAACAGTCGTGTTTTTGGACTGTGGGAGGAGGCCGGGGTGGCATAAAAGTCCTTGAATGCTTAATTAATTTGTAGGTGATCTGTAGTTACATGGTCACTTGGTAACTGAATTTTGGAGATATTTTGTTTGGCACTGGAGCCTTTAAGTTGGTTAGCCAATAACTTGCCAATATCTAGCCAATAACATATAAAACATGGTCTTACTTTTTAATGGTGATTGTTCTACTGAATGAGTGGTAAGCAGTTCAAATCTGGTCTTTTTTTTTTGTTATTATAAGCATATAATAGCCAATAATTACACTAAAGATCATTGTAGTGCCACCAAACTTGTAGCACAAATAGATAACCTCATCTAATTCAGACTACAACTCTTACTTTCGGAAGATGGGCCAAACTGTATTTTTTGAGATTTTTTCATTGTTGTTATAAGCAGGCCAGGTGTGCAATCTGTGCAACAGGAACCACAGCACTTAGCGTTGTGTGCACTGCACAAAGAATACATGTAAATGCAGGAAGGACTCACCTTGGGTTTGTGAAAACTGCTAAATGGAAAATTGTAGCTTCATATGTAGTGTTTTTCCTTGGGTGAAATAAATGTTACTCCTATACTGAAGTCATACTGTTTGTCATTTTCTAAGCTGAAATGCTGAATGTCATGAAAAGGTGAGACAAGACAAAATACAATTATTCTCTAAGTTGTTATTTCACATACACTGCAGAATTATTAGGCAAGTTGTATTTTGAGGATTATTTTTATTACTGGGCCATAATTGTGTTCTCAAACAACCCAAAAGACTCCTTAATATCAAAGCTTCATATTTTTGGAACTTGATGTGTTTTTATTTAGATTTGGCCCTTTTATGAGGATGTCTGTGTATGCAGGTAAATATTACTGTGCAGAATTATTAGATAACATTAAAAAAATATATCCATCTCACTAGTTTATTTTCACCATGTAAATCAAAATAACAACTCAAAATTCAGAAATAAACATTTGCGACACATTCAAAAACAAAACAAATCAGTGACCAATATAGCCACCTTTCTTCACCGTGATGCTTAAAAGTCTTCCATCCATAGATTCTGTCAGTGTCTTGATCTTTTTGTGATCGACATAGCGTGCATGATCCACCACAGCCTCCCAGACACTGTTCAGATAGGTGTACTGTTTTCACTCCCTGTAGATCTCACATTTCATGAAGGACCACAGGTTCTTGATGGGGTTTAGATCAGGTGATCAAGGTGGCCATGTCATTGTTTATTCTCCTTTTAGACTCTTTCTGGCCAACCACGCTGTGGTGTATTTTGATGCATGTGACGGAGCTAGGGTTGTCACGATACTAAACTTTTCAACTCGATACCGATACTAAAGAAAATATTGGATAATCGATTCCATTTTCGATACCACAAGGATAAAAACTCCAAATTTCAACAGAAATATTTTGATTAATAATTAAAATACAATAAATAAATACAATAAACAATAAGAACAATATTTTGAGATTGTATACTGTGTACAGTATTAAGCAAGCTTGATAAAAAAACTCCTTAATTCCTTGGCTATGCTTTGTACACATAACAATGACACTAGCCAAACCGGTTAACAAAAAACAAAAATAATTCTCAGCAGCTGCAGCTGTTACAGAAAAAAGTCTGAAACTGAAAAGTGCACAGAATTATTCAATCACACAGTGTTCTGAAAGTGCATTTTCCTCTATTCTGCACTTTAGATGAATGACTGCTTAGGTGCCACTGGTGATGGCACTGTATCGATACTTTTAAAAACGAGTATTGTATCCGGATACAACATTTCAGTATCAATACTTTTTTGAGTATCGATACTTTTGACAACCCTAGAGGGAGCATTGTCCTACATGAATATCATGTTTTTCTTGAATGATGGCGACTTCTTCTTGTACCACTGTTTGAAGAAGGTGTCTTCCAGAAACTGGAAGTAGGTCTGGGAGTTGATCTTGACTATCATAAACCCAAAAAGGTCCCACAAGCTCATCTTTGATGATACCAGCCAGTACCAGTACCCCACCTCCACCTTGCTGTCATCTGAGTCGATAAGGAACTTGCTGCCCTTTACTGATCCAGCCTCATGCCCATCCATCTGGCAAGACTCACTCTCATTTAATCAGACCAAAACACCTTGGAGAAATCAGTCTTAAGATATTTCTTGGCCTAATCTTGACGTTTTGTCTTGTGTATCTTGTTCAAAGGTGGCCTTTTTTCGGCTTTCCTTACCTTGGGCAGGTCCCTAAGTATTGAGCACCTTGTGCATCTCAGCACTCTAGACATGTTGCTGCTCTGAAATATGGCACAACTGGTGGCTAATGGTTTCCTGGCAGCTTCACGCTTGATCCCTCTCAATTCATGGGGAGTTATTTTTTCTAAAGGCTTCTTGTGCCCCTGTTGGCTATTTGCCACGAACCGTTTGATTGTGAATTTTCCAAAGGAAAGAAAGCTGCCTAATAATTAAGCACACCTTATATAGGGTGTTGATGTCATTGGGCCACACTCCTTTTCATTACAGAGATGCACACCACCTGATTTACTTAATTGGTATTTGGCTTTTAGGTGTATACAGCTTGGTGTAGGACAACATGTATAAAGAGGATGATGTGGTCGAAATACTAATTTACCTACTAATTCTGCACACAGTGTAGTAAGCTTTGCAATATAAGGAGTCTGTTGGGGAATGGACAATATAAATAGGCTCTGCCTTGCCTTGTTGGAAAATGGTTATGACCCGTTCTCAGCTCAGGAACTAGGACCCGATTGATATCTGGTTGTTCAATAGGTATGCCTAAATAAAAGGTTTAGATATGACTTATCGTGATATTCCTGGAAAAAGGTCTGATGTTGCAAGGGCAGGTAAAGGAAAAGTCCTTGGAACATGCTCTTGTTCTGATGCCAGTTTGTTTCAACCTTTATCAAGTCTCATGTAGAAGGGCTGGATATATCACACAGGGCTCGATGTTTTTATTACTGGGAGAGTACAAATTTCATTGCATTTGCCCGGCAGGCAAGTGCAATGATCGCAAAAAAATAAATTATTTATCACTCAAAATTACTTTAAAATCACAGACATTCGATGAAAACGACCCAGAAGCGTTGCCGGCGCCATTTTTGTTGTTTTGTACACATTCTCGCGTGATTTGAAAAAGCCGGGTGATTTTCCTCCAGATGGCGTGATGTATGTCCACCTAGCGGTAACTTTGATGTAGTTACCAAAACGACAAACAAGCTAGAAAGCGCTATTGTACCTGTGTTTCTGTATCATTTTATTCGCATAATCATTCAAAAATCACCTATATTCGAAGAAAACAACCCAAAAGCGTTGTCGCTGCCATTTTTATTGTTTTGTACACATTCTCGCGTGATTTTTGTCTAGGAATTGGCTTAAAATTAACTTAAAATGTTGAAATTTGACGGAAAAACATGTTCGATTCTATTATTCTCGTGCCTGCAGTTTGGATTACGTACACGGAAAACGCCTTCCAAGCCACAGCGAAAACGGTGAAGTGGCGAATGGGCCAGAGGAAGCTGTTGAACGGGATTCCTAGTGACAGAGCATCGCCAGTGTACGTGGTCTGATCCTTGCTCACAGCAAAATAATATTTTAAGGCAGGATCATAATCTTGATGAACTGACTGCACAGATAAAGTGCAGCAAATATATAACATTGTTACAGGCAAAGAAAGGATAGGATAGCTCACGCATCAGATTTTCTTTTCGACCGCACAGCTAGAGCAGCCAAGGGGCTACAGCACTGCATCAGAACAAAACTTGTAGAAGCATCAAAAATGAAGCAGCACGCAAGTTTTTGCTGCTTCTGCTGCTTGCAGTATGAATGTAGCATAAATGTGCACAGTAAATTCTTCTGTTGGTTTGTATGTAATGTATGTACAACTTTGTCTTGGCTGAGAATGGGATGTATGGTATGGTGCACATTGTTTTGGTGGGACAAATAAAATATTTTTGTTACTGTGTATTTTTGTGTTCTGAGTATAAACACAATATTTTTTTTAAATGTTACAGCGCACTTATGTATGTACTGTCTGTAGTAAGAGCAACACTGAACAAAAAAAGGTGATTATAATGAATGAAGAAGTGTTTTTTATTGAGCACACCAGTGTTAAACTGGTTCTTATGAATGTCTATTCATATGACAGTTTGTGTGTCATTTGAAAACAAAATACCATTTTGAGAAAATTAAAAAAACATCGTTTTGAAAGTAATGTTTCATTTTGCAGGAGGAATGAGGGGTTTTGCCCATTGTGTATGTTTTTTTTATTTCTGTGTAGAGTTCCAAGAACATGAGGCATTCCTTCAGTAATGTGAGTAAACAATCAAGAAAACTGTAACTGTTTACATCAAATGATTGGAGATGATGCAGAGAGATATTTACAAGATTCTACAAAGCATTTGCATCAGAGAGACTCAACAAGTGTCACTGTTTCCTAAAGCATAGACTAAGTTTTGCTCATTCTGAACTTCAGTTATAAAAAGATTTAAAAGTAAATTAGGATATTTCTTAACAATGCTGCTTAGCTTTTCTTTGTCGTGTCTTTTTGATTTTTTATTTAAATCCAGCTAGTTAACAATAAGCAATACAATCAAATATGCTCAATAGGCACCGGTTCTTTTTGCACATATAATTTCTCCAGACCTATATTAATTTGTGACCCTTTGGAAACAGATTTTGAGGCTGAAGATCTTACCTGGCAGGCCTGGGCAAGACTCATGCCTACTCTGAAGCGGGCAGACATGCCCGGCGGCAGGGTGGTGGGAAGCACGCCGCCGGGACCCGGATCGATCACCCGGATACATCTGACCACCGCCTCCACGATCAGCTCACTGGTGAATTGGCCGACTCGCTCAATGTTCTCACCTACCTCACTGTGGGGCAAAAGTATAACATTCAGCTGTAAATATCGCTACATTCCTGTTAACGCGTTTGTAGAAAGGAAGCAAGCAAGAAAGAATGGAGACTTACGTTCCGACTTGTCTGAGAGCATGAATAAGGATCTTATCGACTTCCTCCATCGCAAATTTTCCACCGAAATATTCTACCTAAGCAGGATTTCAACAAAGGGTCCAAGTAAAAAACTATTTACTATCATGGGTTACCAGCAGTTAGGCTGATTCAGGGGGACTGACCTGCAGTCTTTTGATGGCAACAAGCTCCTTAGCTCCGTATAACCAAGTTTGACTTTGCTATAGTTTAGGTAAACGCCCTGACCTCACTAAAAGCCTCCTGAAGCAGCCAATATTCCAATTCAATCATAATACTTTTCAAAATTGTTTACAACCCGACATAACCGATTTTTGACAGAGCTCATCTGTGCCATTTTTCTGTCCGGAAGTGATCGTTCGGAAGGAGCAGAGGCGCTGCTGGGAAACGAAGTTTTCTGTGAACCGGTTTTAACCATGACTCCAATGGAAACGTACAACGTTAAAATACATTTCCCGGCATGCACCACAATAAGAGTCCATGAGCCAGTCTCATGACCTGAGGGCGTGTTTGCTGACAAATATCATTTTTTATTCAACCTATATTCAGCATTTATACATTACAAAAGGTAATGATACAAACTATTAAAAATATCACAGAAAGCGTAACTTCACATTACCACGGAAGAGGATTAGGGCCACTGGAAAAAAATAAAGTTAACTGATTTTTACATTTTATTTCAGTTTAGTATGGGGAAAAAGTCAGAATTCTGACTTTTTTCTCAGAATTCTGACTTTTTTCTCAGAAATTTGACTTTAATCTCAGAATTTTGACTTTTTTCTCAGAATTCTGACTGAATTATGACAACAAAAAAGTCAGAATTCTCAGAGGAGCGACTTTTCAGACCCCTCTAGCACTTAAATTTCAAAAAAAGCACCTAGTACCAAATCTAGCGACTTTTTTTGTTACTACAGACTTTGGCAAAAACATATAAAAAAAGCATGAAACTCTGCTCTCCAGAGCAAGCAGGTCCATAACCCCTGCCTTCTGCTCTTCTCTCCCTTGTCTGCTGTCTTGATTCATGCTGCTAATATTTCATTCAAATAAAAATGGAGAACAGATACACAGATCATGGCTTGTCTACAGGGAAAAGCAGGACTGAGTTATTTTCTTTTGCTTTTGCCTTATTGGAAACACAGGGAGGCACAATCAGCTAAGTTACAATGGGCTTAGCGATTAGGAAAAAAATGAATTCCTTGTGAGATAGCATTAAAAGTCAGCTGAGCACATTGCCAATATGAAAAGAAAAGGGGACAGAAGAAAACATAGAGAGGAAATAAGAAAGAAATGGGAGAAGAAGAGAGGGAAAAAAGCTAGAACAAATAATGTATGTCTATCCTATTATTATTTCTGTATCTGTATAATGGGTCTCTTTTATGAGTTGTCTTTTCAATTCAGAGGGCCCCATGTCTGTCTTAGCCTGGGGCCCCACATTTCCTATATCCGCTCATGCTCCTGGTGGTAGCAGTTTGTAGGGGACACCAAAGATGTTTAAACTGCAGAGAAGAACACAGAATCAAAGTGTGCCGGGAAGAAGCAGAAGAAAGGTTTTGCAACTGTGGATGCCAGCACAGAGTTAACCATGGAGAATGTGAGTTGAGAAAGAAGGGAGTTGAAACACAACAGGTTAAAACAACAAGAAATATAAGCTACTCAGAAGCATTGAAAAGAGTTCAAGGACAAAGGGCAGGAGAAATGAATCAAGTTTAGAATCTGATAGCAAAGCAAAAATAAAGTAGATAGAGAAGATAATTTCACTCCAACAGTTTAGAAACTTAATGTATTCATTGCCTATGTCATCAACTGTACAGAACAAGCCAGGCATAAGAAAGAGAAATCCGGATCATTGCCAGAGGGGCTGAAAAGTTTTTGGGACTCAAAGAATTTAGTTGGGAGAGCATTGTTGCAAGGTTGAAGATGGAGGGTAGAACAGGAGCATCTGGAACATAAAATATTTAGATATTATTATGTAATGTAAATGTAATGTAAATCCCTTTATCAGACATCCCAAGTCTCCCGGAAGTTCTGGGAGTCTCCCTGATATAGATAGTTGTTCATGGATGCCAACGAGTCAGATAAATGATCCTGGATTTTAGACTATGCCACGTGGTGTTTTTTTAATTTGGGTAGCGGGCAGGAAATAATTCATGCATCATGTGTGGATAAGAACTACTTCGATTGCGCAGACAAGAGAGAGCTGGGTGTGAGGAGGAGGTTACTTGTGAAACCTGTGCAGCGTATCTGTCCAAAGAGATGCTCTGTTCAACCAGCGTTCCAGGCGACTGGTTGTCAGAGAGCTGATTGGATCAGTCTGATAAGTTTCTCTGGGTTACTCTCTGGCAGTCACCTAGTTACCACTCAAAGCTGTGCATCCTGTGAAACAGCAGAGGTTGATTCCTTGTGTAAAAAAACAAAAATATATGACTAATCTTACAGCAGAATATACTTAAGTATATCCAGGTCTAGTGAAGGTGAGGAACAGTGGCGGATCTAGCAATTGTATTTCTTATGAAGTCAATAAGGGGGGGGGGGGGGGGGGGGGGGGGGTTAAGCATCTCCCTGAAATGAGTTTTTGGAACTTGGGATGTCTGCTTTATTGAATTCACTCACTGCATTTTAACCCATGCCGTTGGGGAGCATTGGGCTGCCATTGTGTGGCGCCCAGGGAGCAGGTTGGCATTAAGGGTCTTGCTCAGGGACCCAAAGTGGAGGCTGGGGGGATCGAACTGGGAACTTGCAACCTTCTCAGGGAAAAAGCGCACTGCTCTACCCACTAGGCCAATACTCCCCTAATATTAAAAGATTAAGATATTGTTAATCATAGATAGTAATTATATTAGATAAATATAGATGACGTTGGGTTCTTATATTATTGATATAAAGTAAAGTACATACATTGATTTTATAGTATACTGTCATTTTTTTCCACAATTCATACCAGTAGGTGGCGGTAATGCACTTTTAAATTGTTTGCCATTCGCCATTAAACGTCACATAAGAAGAATATACCTTAATCAGCAGATGGCGATGTTGCCAACACAAACTTCCCGTATAGACCTAAACAGAAAGAGCTCTCTCGTTCATACAGTAGCACCATCATGTATCGCTGATCGAGTCAATGCTACAGGAGAGACATCCTAAAACGAGCTGTTCTGTTTCCAAAGGTGATCTTTAAAATGGCGGGCGAAGAGGAGAGGGGGGTTGTTCGAGTTAAAGTCAAGGTAGGCTGTTTAACGGGCACATTTCTGCCGACCAGAGCTAACTACGCCGTTAACCCCCGGCCGGTCCTCGTTGTGTTTACGTCGTTAACAGCGCTTAGCCACTGCAGGTTATTCTGGACACAACGATCCCTATAGGTCCGACTATAGCTAACTGAATCCAGAGACTGTCCACGTCCTTATTGTCCGTTTGCTGCATGCTTTGTTTGCTGTCGCAGCGCGAGGTCCGCATCGATATTTCTCATTATCAGCTCATTTCATTGATCATATTGGAAGGCCACAGGTGAAACGTAAACAACATTCATTTGTGATCTATAGACATTCACAATGATCACAATAAAAGGGCACTGACGTCATCTCCTTGGTGAGAAACTACGTGCATGCGCGCACACGACATCCATTGTTGTTGTTTTCTGCTGAGAAGAGGGAATCTGCTTTTGCTGGTTGCAGTATTGTTGTTGTTGTTTTGTTTTTTTAATTCCATGACCAGTGGATATTACAGAGATTCAAATTGTAAATTTTTTCTTTCATATTGCAATCATCGGGTAGTTGAAAACCTGGTTTGACAAACTGAGTAAATATTAATATTTGTTTTAAACCTAGTTGTTCCATAATTTCTGTGTTCTTATGTATCCTATCACTTCAATGGGGTGCGGGAATGAAGCAGGAAAGTAGAATCAGCTGCATTTTAAATAACCTGCTGCTGATCACAGCATTTCACTCATCATTACTACACTTAATAAACATCCACATATTCCAATTTTATACAAGCAAAATACTATCTGTGCATGGAACTGAAAACAAATGACTAGGCATAGTGTGGTGTGTGCAATGGAAGGAGAGACCCAACAAGACCAGAAAAATCATCTTCCTCCAGCTGATCATTTGGGTTATCCAACCATCCATCCATCTTCTAACACTCTTAATCCCCAGTGGGGTCGCGAGGGGTCAAGTTGATACTTCAACTTTTACCAGAGTATTTTTAAACTGCAGTATCTATACTTCTACTTAAGAAACAAATGTGTGTACTTTTGACACCACTGGCCAAAAGGCAAAGCTCTCAATTTGCTGGTCGGTCTATTTTCCCACCCTCATCTATGGTCATTAGCTTTGAGTAAAGAATGAGAAAGAATGAGATCCCGGATACAGTCAGCTGAAATGAGTTTTCTCCGTAGTGTGTCTGGGCTCTCCCTTAGAAATAGGGTGAGGAGCTCAGTCATCCAGGGAGGACTCAGGGTAGAGTCGCTCCTTCACATCAAGAGGAGAAAGTTAAGGTGGCTCGGGCATCTGATTAGGATGCTTCCTGGACGTTTCCCTGGTGACGTGCTCCAGGCAGGTCCCACTGGGAGGAGGCCCAGGGGGAGACCCAGGACACGCGGGAGAGGATGTTGCTTGGCTGGCCTGGGAACGTCTTGGACCACCCCGGAGGAGCTGGCTGGGGAGAGAGATGTCTGGGCCTCCTCACTGAAGCTGCTACCCCTGCCACCGGACCACGGATAAGCGGAAGAAGATGGATGGATAAAATTACAAATCAAATTCATAAATATATATTACTATTTAATTCCACCATTAAAAATGTGGAATGAAACACAACTTTTTGGGATTTTTTAAACTCTTGTTTTGTAGGCATACAAACTCCTGCATAATCCATTCATTTCAGTCCACATCCTTGCGTTTCATGTTGATCAAATAACCTCTAGATGTGACAGTTATGAATGACTTACCCGATTTGTGGGGAAACTGATGAATAACGGCGGGTGAAGCAGTAATCCCCTCCATTTAGATGTAATGAATGTTTAGCTTTTCATGCTTCTGTATCATTCCCGAATAACTTAATTTAGAATTATAGACTTATATTAACACAAACACTATTTTGTGTATAACATGAAAATTTGTTGAAGTATTTTAGAGATTGTGATGGGATTTCTTTCAGAAATGTGATGGAGCACTTCCTGTGGAGTTTCGCTCATTTGCTGTTGATCCTCAGATAACATCTCTGGAGGTGCTGCAGCATATCCTCATCAGAGCCTTTAATCTAAATGGGTAAGAGGCATCAGGTTGAGCATCTCTTTTGGAGTTCACTTGAACAAGTTTCAATGTGTGGCTCAAATATCTTGTCTTTAATGTGAAATAGGAAGCAGAATTTCAGTGTTAGTTACCTGTCTCGAGATCGGAGCGGCGTTGAAATGTACCTGTCTCTCCTATCTGACTGGGATTTGGATGTTGCATTTATGAGTGCTGCCAAACCGTTCCTGCAGCTCAAGATGGATGTGAAGCCTTCTGAGGAAAGTAAGAAAACCAGTTCAGCTTTAAAAAAAAAAAGCATTAAGATGATGTACCTTCCTTTAAAAAGAATTGTAAAAGAACCATCTCCTATGCTTTTCACTTGACTTCAGGTCCAGTAATGGAGGACTGGGACATCATAAGTCCCAAAGATGTGATTGGTTCAGAGCTGCTGCTTGCAGAAAGGACAAGGTCTTTGGCATCTGCAGCACTTCCCTTTACCCAGTCTCTGCTGTCCCAGGTTAGTTCCCTTTTCTTCAAAGTTTTTCATTTGGTTAAGACTGCAAAGACTTCTGTTTCCCTTCTCTATATTATCTACAAAAGAGGTTTCCATTGTATCATAGCATAAGCCCGCTTAAATAACTAATTAACAACTAACTCTCCCCATGTCGTAACTATCGGTAAGCAGAGACTGCAGTTGCTTAGGGGCCCCGTCACTGACGCCTGGTTGGCCCCCGACGCAATTGTGGACTAGGACGTCTCTTTGCAGATGTAATGGTGCGAAAAATTCCTCTTAAACCCACCTGATACTAGATTAACTGACCGGACCGTATTTATACCCCAATACATGCCAGATTTCAACATGATGGTGAGCCGTTTAAACATGACACCAATAGACAGTGGTACTTTTAATTACTATGTTAATAACTGTGTATAGTTCATTAGACGGTTGGTAAGAAATATGCTCATATATGTTTCAAACCAAAATAAAGACCTTAAAAGAACGATATATTTGAGTATTTAACTTTTTACACTATGACTTGGAATTATGGGTAATCCAGAGTGTAGATTAGAACCATAACCGTTAGGTACAATGCGTTGGCGACGATTGATACCAAAAAAAGAGGTACTTAAGCGGATTCCAGAAATGAAAAAGCAAAGAAGAGCTGCTGGAAGAACGGAAAAAACTCCCCAAAATAAACACATTCTTTCAAGGAACATAAAAGGGAGAGGTGGACGTTGCTGCTACAGTGAGTAAAAATTGCGACCAGGAGATGAATGGAGAGCGCGTGGGTGAGGAGGGGGGCTGTGAAACTCAAGGTAGCCCGATAAGACTAATTTTACAGCAGAATAAATGTGATGAAGTGTGTATGTATGGGGCACATTTTGGGTCAGTTGTCTACGGCAGTGGCGGCGGTGAGTGGAAGGGGTGTTGTACTTCATATGGGGCCCCACCAGATAATGTTGCTTACTGGCCTATTCTTGAGTCGTTACGCCAATTGTTCTCTATTATTATTGTCACTTTTTTATATACTTCCAATCCAATTTATTTATGTAGCACATTTAAACAACAAAATGTTTCCAAAGCGCTGCGCATGCTACAAGGTAAGTATAAAACAATAAATATAATTAAATACTGAACACATTTCAGAAATTTTATGATTTTTTAAACAACTTTAACAGGTTTTAAACTTGCATCATCTCAACCCTCTGCCCTCTTCTGGCACTACTCACCTATGAATGATATCAATATATTTTTTTACAGAATCATATATTAACTCAGGGCTACTGGTGTAACAGCTTTCAAGAACAATGTTTTGAGTTTAAATGTAAACACTTTATTGATGCTCAAAGTTACAGTGGGGCAAAAAAGTATTTAGTCAGCCACGAATAGTGCAAGTTCTCCCACTTAAAAAGATGAGAGAGGCCGGTAATTTTCATCATAGATATACCTCAACTATGAGAGACAAAATGAGAAAAAAAATCCAGAAAATCACATTGTCTGATTTTTAAAGAATTTATTTGCAAAATATGGTGGAAAATAAGTATTTGGTCAATAACAAAAGTTCATCTCAATACTTTGTTATATACCCTTTGTTGGCAATGACAGAGATCAAAGGTTTTCTGTAAGTCTTCACAAGGTTTTAACACACTGTTGCTGGTATTTTGGCCCATTCCTCCATGCAGATCTCCTCTAGAGCAGTGATGTTCTGGGGCTGTCGCTGAGCAACACGGACTTTCATCTCCCTCCAAAGATTTTCTATGGGGTTGAGATCTGGAGACTGGCTAGGCCACTCCAGGACCTTGAAATGCTTCTTACGAAGCCACTCCTTCGTTACCCGGGCGGTGTGTTTGGGATCATTGTCATGCTGAAAGACCCAGCCACGTTTTATCTTCAATGCCCTTGCTGATGGAAGGAGGTTTTCACTCAAACTTTGACGATACATGGCCCCATTCATTCTTTCCTTCACACGGATCAGTCGTCCTGGTCCCTTAGCAGAAAAACAGCCCCAAAGCATGATGTTTCCACCCCCATGCTTCACTGTAGGTATGGTGTTCTTTGGATGCAACTCAGCATTCTCTCTCCTCCAAACACGACGAGTAGAGTTTTTACCAAAAAGTTCTATTTTGGTTTCATCTGACCATATGATATTCTCCCAGTCATCGTCTGGATCATCCAAATGCTCTCTAGCAAACTTGAGACGGGCCTTGACATGTACTGGCTTAAGCAGGGGGACACGTCTGGCACTGCAGGATTTGAGTCCCTGGCGGCGTAGTGTGTTACTGATGGTAGCCTTTGTTACTTTGGTCCCAGCTCTCTGCAGGTCATTCACTAGGTCCCCCTGTGTAGTTCTGGGATTTTTACTCACCATTCTTGTGATCATTTTGACCCCACGGGGTGAGATCTTGCGTGGAGCCCCAGATCGAGGAAGATTATCATTGGTCTTGTATGTTTTCCATTTACTAATAATTGATCCCACAGTTGATTTCTTCACACCAAGCTGTTTACCTATTGCAGATTCAGACTTCCCAGCCTGGTGCAGGTCTATAATTTAGTTTCGGGTGTCCTTTGACAGCTCTCTAGTTTTGGCCATGGTGGAGTTTAGAGTGTGACTGTTTGAGGTTGTGGACAGGTGTCTTTTATACTCATAACGGGTTCAAACAGGTGCCATTAATGAAGGTAACGAGTGGAGGACAGAGGAGCCTCTTACAGAAAAAGTTACAGGTCTGTGAGAGCCGAAAATCTTGCGTGTTTGTAACTGACCAAATACTTATTTTCCACCATATTTAGCAAATAAATTCTTTAAAAATCAGACAATTTGATTTTCTGGATTTTTTTTTCTCATTTTGTCTCTCATAGTTGAGGTATATCTATGATGAAAATTACCGGCCTCTCTCATCTTTTTGAGTGGGAGAACTTGCACTATTGGTGGCTGACTAAATACTTTTTTGCCCCACTGTAGCTGATTACAGAATCAATTATATCCCACATAAGCAAACTATTTTTATCTTACTTATTTTTTTAGGAAGTATAAAAATGTTTTTGAACTTCCAGCTTGGTGTGTTCCAACTACACAAAAGAGGTCCTCTGCCACTCTACTTGCTTAAAGGAGAATTCCGGTTTTTAACACTTTTAGCCCATTTTCTGTAGTGTCCAGGATGAAATCGAATGATCGACACCAAAATTTTGACAATTGGTCCTGTCTCTGCTTTTTGGCTCATGCAGAATCCCCCCCTGGCTGCTTCAGAATGGCTTCCATTGTGCATGTCCGATAATGTCCTTAAAACAACCTTAAACGTTCTTTTTTTTTAAATATGCTACTCACCGGGTCGTCAGTAGGGTTGGGAATTGAAAACATTTTCACGATTCCGATTCCCTTTTCGATTCTATGAAACGATTCGATTCTTTATCGATTCTTTTTTCGATTCCAATTTGGGGTAAAAAGGAGAACAAACAGTTTGATTATCAGCATCAACTTTGTTTACTTAACTATTGCACAATCTTACAAACTCAACAAGATCAAGATGTCCACAGGAAATGTGAAACTGGAGTAACATCTGTGTTTAAATGAAAAATGAATACAAGAACAAACTTAATAACCAACAATGTCTATTAAAAAATGATGGGATAATAACCTATTTTAAATAACAAAAAATACTAATTATAAAACAGTAGTAGGGAAAATTAACAGTTCTTTTGCAGAAAGATGAGCATATCTGCTTTTTCTGGAAGGATACGGGATCTTTCAGCGCTTAAGGTGTCTCCAGCCGTGGAGAACACCCTCTCAGATGGGGTGGAGGAAGCCTGCACACAGAGGTAGTTTTCAGCCAGTCCAGATAGCAAGGGCAGCGTATCTTGCTTGTTCCACCACCACAGTGTGGCGCTATCCCTGCAGGGGATGGAGGGCAAGCTTTTACAGAGCTGGATTTTCTGATCTACCCTCTGGGCTAAGGAAAGACGGGGCTTTGATTCACAAAGTGACCGCAGCTCGCTGTCTTCCTCCTCGAATAGTTCTTCCAACTTGCGTAAGTTGCGTAACTTACGTAAAAAACGTGACGTAAGTCGTGCTCCCCAGAGCTGGCGCTCTAGGCTCTGGTGCTGCGGAATCGAAAAAAGAATTGTTCAGCGAGCTGCCAAATGATGCCATGGAATCAGAAAATACGGAACCGGTTCTTAACAGGAACCGGTTTTCGATTCCCATCTCTAGTCGTCAGCGCTGTTCAATGACGTTCCAAAAAAAGTTTCGTAAAGAAAAAACATTCCTGTAGTGTTTTATTTAGCATTTTGTAAATAAAACAAGACAGGAACGGTTTTTCTTCACGAAACTTTTTTTGGAACGTCATTGAACAGCGCTGACAACCCGGTGAGTAGCATATTTTAAAAAAAGAACGTTTAAGGTTGTTTTAAGGACATTATCGGACATGCACAATGGAAGCCATTCTGAAGCAGCCAGGGGGGATTCTGCATGAGCCAAAAAGCAGAGACAGGACCAATTGTCAAAATTTTGGTGTCGATCATTCGATTTCATCCTGGACACTAAAGAAAATGGGCTAAAAGTGTTAAAAACCGGAATTCTCCTTTAAATAAAATAGTGTTTTTTTTCTACAACTGCTGTGAGTTTTCATGACTCATCAGAACCATGTAAAAAAACAAATCCTGCAGTCCATCATCAGATGTAAATGCACTCTCGCTTTCATGCTTATATCATTTATGCGCCCATTTAATTTAAAGGTCTGTATGTAACATAACACTTGTACTATTGTTTTTTTGTAGAAAAGTGGGGAATGTGATGTAATTGGGATCTGTTAATACTGGGGTATTGTGATCTGTGGAACAGAGAACACTGTTTTTTTACAGCTATGAATTAGAGCAGCTTTGTTGGTCATATTTTAACCAGTTTTCTTTGTTGTTATGAGCAATGCGCACTTCTCTGCATACACCAGTGTTATGTCGGTCAATGTTTCTTTGTGTTTTATTTTTAACATAGAAACACAGCATCAATAAAAGTATGCAGGGGATGAGGCCTTTTTGTAGTGCTTCTCGGGAGAGATGCAGGAACTCTATCTCCACAGACAGCCGCAGCCATAGGCTAGCTAAGTTGGCTACTTGAGCTTTTTTGCAGTTTATTACACGCACACACAAAAAGGTCTGATGCCTGCCCTGCTCTAATGAAAACTGAGACAGAACCCCCTGTCTGTATTTCTTGGTTGAGGGTAATTCTTTTCAGCACCGTTTACTTAAATTTATTTTTTTTGTCTTGGGTGCACTAGCATTAGCACAAAGGTCAGATAAATCCAATCCGTACTGAAAAACACAGTTTTACTTATTTACTCTTTCTCTTCAATTTGGTCAGCATAAAATTCTCTATTTAAACTGCAGTTTGAAAGTAGTGAGAAAGTCCTGGTCCTAAAGTTCTTTACTGAGCTGAAATTTAAACATAAAGGATCCCCAGATAAATGGGTTTTTTTCTTTTTTTAAAGATTTGATCATGTTAACATAGTCCTGTACACATTTGAATCTAAGTCTTTGTCTGTCGGGTTACTTACAGGTGGGACGAACCCTTTCCCGGGTTCAGCAGGCCTTCACCTGGTCTTACGGTGAGGAGATCAAGCCTTTCAAACCTCCACTGAGTGACTCTGAGTTTCACAGCTACCTTAACGGGCAAGGTCAGCTGACACGGCCTGAAGAACTCCGGCTGCGCATCTACCATGGTGGGGTGGAGCCATCACTGCGAAAGGTTTCTTATTTTCGTCACGTTTTACTAACAGAATAGATCTACAGGCTCTTTATATTCAAGAGCTTTATAAATGGCTGCCATTTTAGAAACTGAATTACCGTATTTTCACGACCATGGGGCGCACCGTACTAAAAGGCGCAGTCTCAATTATGTGTGCCATTACTGTATTTAACACACACATAAGGCACCGGACTATAGGGCGCGGGTTTTACACTCACCTGCCACTTTATTAGGTACACCTGTCCAACTGCTCGTTAACACTTAATTTCTAAGCAGCCAATCACATGGCGGCAACTTAGTGCATTTAGGCATGTAGACATGGTCGAGACAATCTACTGCAGTTCAAACTGAGCATCAGTATGGGGAAGAAAGGTGATTTGAGTGACTTTGAACGTGGCATGATTGTTGGTGCCAGAAGGGCTGGTCTAAGTATTTCAGAAACTGCTGATCTACTGGGATTTTCACGCACAACTATCTCTAGGGTTTACAGAGAATGGTCCGAAAAAAAAAAAACATCCAGTGAGCAGCAGTTCTGTGGGCAGAAATGCCTTGTTGACGCCAGAGGTCAGAGGAGAATGGCCAGACTGGTTCGAGCTGATAGAAGGGCAACAGTGACTCAAATAACCACCCGTTAAAACCAAGGTGGGCAGAAGAGCATCTCTGAACTCACAGTACGTCGAACTTTGAGGCAGATGGGCTACAGCAGCAGAAGACCACACCGGGTGCCATTCCTTTCAGCTAAGAACAGGAAATTGAGGCTACAATTTGCACAAGCTCATCGAAATTGGACAATAGAAGATTGGAAAAACGTTGCCTGGTCTGATGAGTCTCGATTTCTGCTGCGACATTCGGATGGTACGGTCAGAATTTGGCATCTACAACATGAAAGCATGGATCCATCCTGCCTTGTATCAACGGTTCAGGCTGGTGGTGGTGGTGTCATGGTGTGGGGAATATTTTCTTGGCACTCTTTGGGCCCCTTGGTACCAATTGAGCATTGTTGCAACGCCACAGCCTACCTGAGTATTGTTGCTGACCATGTCCATCCCTTTATGACCACAATGTACCCAACTGCTGATGGCTACTTTCAGCAGGATAATGCGCCATGTCATAAAGCTGGAATCATCTCAGACTGGTTTCTTGAACATGACAATGAGTTCACTGTACTCAAATGGCCTCCCCAGTCACCAGATCTCAATCTAATAGAGCATCTTTGGGATGTGGTGGAACGGGAGATTCGCATCATGGATGTGCAGCCGACAAATCTGCGGCAACTGTGTGATGCCATTATGTCAATATGGACCAAACTCCCTGAGGAATGCTTCCAGCACCTTGTTGAATCTATGCCGCGAAGAATTGAGGCAGTTCTGAAGGCAAAAGGGGGTCCAACCCGTTACTAGCATGGGGTACCTAATAAAGTGGCCAGTGAGTGTATATACCGGTTAGGGTTGTCAAAAGTATCGAAACTCAAAAAAGTATCGATACTGAAATGTTGTATCCGGATACAATACTCGTTTTTAAAAGTATCGATACAGTGCTACCACCAGTGGCACCTAAACAGTCATTCATCTAAAGTGCAGAATAGAGGAAAATGCACTTTCAGAACACTGTGTTATTGAATAATTCTGTGCACTTTTCAGTTTCAGACCTTTTTTTTTGTAACAGTTGGGGCTGCTGAGAATTATTTTTGTTTCTTAACTGGTTTGGCTAGTGTCATTGTTATGTTTGCAAAGCATAGCCAAGGAAGGAACACTTAATTTGAATTTTATAAGTTTTTTATCAAGCTTGCTTAATATTATGCACAGCATACAACCTTTATTGTGTTTATTTATTGTATTTTATTTATTAATGAAAATATTTCTGTAGACTTTTGGAGTCTTTGTTTTTATCCTTGTGGTATCGAAAATGGTATCGAGTATCGAATATTTTCCTTAGTATCGGTATCGAGTTGTAAAAGTTTAGTATCGTGACAACCCTAATACCGGTACATATCCTCTACTACGTTTAAATACCTCTACTGCGTATTTAAAAATAGAGCGGGAGCAAAACTGAGTATGTTTGTGCTTTATTCATGTATCAAACCCATTGAAGTCATCATCCTCTGTTTCTGAATTAAATAGCTGCACTAAATCAGACATGCCAGTTTCCCCTTCTTCGCTGTCAGAGTCACTTTCCATGACGTGCGGCTCCTTGGAAATGATGCCGGCTTTTGCGAAAGCTCAAACAACAATTCAATTCAGTTTATTTATATAGCGCCAAATTCACAACACATGTCATCTCAAGGCACTTTACAGTTCAACCAGATCATACAGTCAAATTAATACAAAGTTTTCTATCTAAGGAAAACCAGTTGATTGCATCGACTCATTGATTCAAATACAATCCCCCACACTAAGCATGCTTGTAGCGACAGTGGAGAGGAAAAACTCCCTTTTAACGGGAAGAAACCTCCAGCAGAACCAGGCTCAGTGTGAGCGGCCATCTGCTGAGGCCGACTGGGGTTCAAGGAGACTGAAGCAGATATACAAAAAGCAGCTGCAAAAGGCGGCCCCGTCCAGGAAACACACAGCCAGGCATACAAGCTCCGAGCCAGCTCATATGTAAGAGGATGAAGAGAGCACATCCACCCAACAACAGTGCCAGCAGACACGTTAGCCCAATTATCTACAATCCATCAGCAAACTGTGGCGTAACTTGCCCGGCGCTGCCTTCCACATTTCGTGAAACTGTGGTCTCCGTCGGTCATCCATCGCTCCCACACCGCTCGCAGCCTTACTTTGAACGGCCGGTTCACACCGATGTCGAGCGGTTAAAGTTCCTTTGTCAGACCTCCCGGAATAACAGCAAGCACAGCGTTCATTTGTTTCACCTTTTTTTTCACATCGGCTGTGAGATGGGCACGCATGGAGTCAGATTAACAGTGATGGTGATGCTTGGAAAAAACCACCTGGTCTCCTTACATACTCCTGCCTCAGCCACTCTTTCATCATCTCCTTATCCATCCAGCCCTTTTCATTTGCCTTAATAACGACTCCAGCTGGAAAAGTCACTTTAGGCAAAGTCACTTTCTCTTAAAAATCACCACAGGCAGCAGTTTCTGTCCATTTGCATGGCAGCCAATCCACGCCCACACTTCCCCCTTTAACGTTCTCATGGCGGTCTCAACACCGTCCGCAGTAACAACACACATAGGGCGCACCGCAGATTTTGAGGGAAAAAAAAGATGTTTATATGCGACTTATAGTCGCGAAAATACGGTAAGTGCATTTTCTTTATTTGAGGAAGTCATCAAACAAATAAAATTTTGTTTATTTATATAGTCCCAACTCACTAGACGTCAAAGCAATTTACAGAGACAACTCAACCAGAAGGACAGTCAAATCGGTTAAAAGTTTTTTAGCTAAAGAAAACCAGCTGATTGCATCGAAAGCAACCCCTCATACTAAGCATGCATGTAGCAACAGCCTGGTTTCCTCCTTTTAACAGGAAGAGACCAGGCTCAGTGTGCGCGGCCATCTGCCAAGGCTGAGTCGGGTTCAAGGAGACAGAAGCAGACATAGAAAAAGAAGCAGAGATATAAAAGTTAACTATCAACCAGCTCCACAGGCCAGGAAACACACAGCCAGGCAGACGAGCTCTGAGCCAGCCAAACAGGAACAGACCAGATGAGATCTACTATGATGAGAAAAAACAGAGAACATAAATTTGAGAATATGAGCATTAGTTATTATATATTTAAATTTCGATTCTGTTTATTTATATAGTGCCAATTCACAACACATGTCAGCTCAAGCCATTTTACAGAGACAATTCAAACAGATCGTCCAGTCGGATTGGTTCAAAGTTTTCTGCTAAGGAAAACCGGCTGATCGACTGATTGACTCCAAAGCAATCCCTCATAAATAGCAACGAGGCATACAATATTGCCTGTAGGGTTGGGAATTGAAAAGATTTTCACGATTCCGATTCCCTTTTCGATTCTATGAAACGATTCGATTCTTTATCGATTCTTTTTTCGATTCCAATTTGGGGGAAAAAGGAGAACAAACAGTTTGATTATCAGAATCAACTTTGTTTACTTAACTATTGCACGATCTTACAAACTCAACAAGATCAAGATGTCCACAGGAAATGTGAAACTGGAGTAACATCTGTGTTTAAATGAAAAATGAATACAAGAACAAACTTAATAACCAACAATGTCTAATAACAAATGATGGGATAATAACCTATTTTAAATAACAAAAAATACTAATTATAAAACAGTAGTAGGGAAAATTAACAGTTCTTTTGCAGAAAGATGAGCATATCTGCTTTTTCTGGAAGGATACAGGATCTTTCAGGGCTTATGGTGTCTCCAGCTGTGGAGAACACCCTCTCAGATGGGGTGGAGGAAGCCTGCACACAGAGGTAGTTTTCAGCCAGTCCAGATAGCAAGGGCAGCGTATCTTGCTTGTTCCACCACCACAGTGTGGCGCTATCCCTGCAGGGGATGGAGGGCAAGCTTTTATAGAGCTGGATTTCCTGATCTACCGTCTGGGCTAAGGAAAGACGGGGCTTTGATTCACAAAGTGACCGCAGTTCGTTGTCTTCCTCCTCGAATAGTTCTTCCAACTTGCGTAACTTGCGTAACTTACGTAACTTACGTAAAAAACGTGACTTAAGTCGTGCTCCCCAGAGCCGGCGCTCTAGGCTCTGGTGCTGCGGGAATCGAAAAAAGAATCATTCAGCGAGCTGCCAAACGATGCCATGGAATCGGAAAATACGGAACCGGTTCTGAACAGGAACCGGTTTTCGATTCCCATCCCTAATTGCCTGTAAATGGAAGATATATTTTTATTTCTAACACCGACAGTTCTATGACATTTCAGCTCTACATATAGCATTGCCTTTAGGAGCTTAAAAGTTGCTATAGGGCTCGGGATCCACGTTGCATTGTGGGACGTCGCGGTCATATTGACGGCTACGCAAACGTAAACATAGCTCTGACACAACGTTGTTGTTGAAAGAAGAGACAGAAGTAGAGAGAAAAAAGATGTTAAAATCCCGAAAAGGATCTGGAATTTACCGGGACACATTAAATAGAGAAGCCAGGGACCGGTATGGTGACAAAATCAGCATTATTAATAATTTGGATCCATATAAAGTTCCAAACAATGAGTGGAGCACCGATGAGTGAGCGTCTATACTTCAAAACAGTTCTGAAGCTACAAGTCCTTGGAGTCTCATATGCAGTTCATGAATGGATGGGTTCAGGAGCTGCACATCATAAAGCCAGCAAACAGTGGGAACACAGTAATCCGTACGAAGGTAAGCTGTGATCAGACGGGCTCTGGAACCTGCTAGTTTAGCAACTGGTAACCGCTAATGCTAACAACCACTCACGCATGTAATGTACTTTTAACTAGCTGCTATGTGTTTCAAAGGTGTAGTTAGTAACGTTAACTGCCAACCCTCCGGGTTTCTCACGTATTTGAGCCTTTTCCCGCTGCCGTTTTTTTTATTTTCCCGTAAAAGATCCCAACTTTGAAGGAAAGAAACAAAGTAGGCTATAAAATAAAACCGTGCATCTTTAACTTACCAGAATGAAAATGCAGGGAACACACTCTCATTGACATTGGAATACTGTGGAAAGTTATGTTCGGTCGTCTTACAGCCGCGATCCAAGCAAGCCGACGACTCTTTATCTCTGACGCTTGGTCTCCATGTTTACGCGTCCATTCAGGAAAGCGGTGGAAAGTTAACCCATTTTCTATGTTTCCATGGCGATCATGCGTTGAGCTGTTACAGCCCACAATACAGCAACGGTTTACCATGGTTGAAATCAAGTTAAGGCGAAATTAATCAAATTAAAACACGGCTGAGAGGGAGTACAGTACCCGGTAGTCATAGGCAGTAGTCTGAGCCGCGGTAAAAGAGGCATTCAACATGGCGGCGACGCGAAGTGCCTACGTCAAGACGACCAAGCCCTATTCAATGTGCAACATTTAGTAGAATCTAAATATTTAGGCCACTGAGGTTGCTGTTTCTTGGTAAGCCAGTTACACAAATATTCCCTGTTCTTGTTCCTAGTCCTTCCTAACTCTCAGCACTTTTCAGATATATAGCGCTAATTATGGCGTCTGTGGACACACTTCTGTTCTGTAGCTTAGATGTCCATACAAATTAGATGTAAAGGGCTGTTATACTCCCGCAGCAGTGTGTCGCAGTGAGCTTGTTGCAGATATTTTTGATTTATGCCCTATTTTTAAGAATTTGACCAAGAGTTAGAATTGAACAATCAGAGGCCTCATGTCTGCGGAAGGGGTAGGGGCATATCTGTGTTGACTGGGGGACACACACAGACAATCTGGTTTCTGAGTATAAATCAGCCTTAATAGGTGAGTCCGCCGCATTGCAGAACTTGTATTGGGTTAGAGCCATGATGGTTTTTGAGCCTGAACGTCCAAACTGGACCACACTTGTGATGCCGCTTGTGTATCAGATTTACAGGCGTACAGGAGCGGCAAGTACAAAGGTTGTGTAAAAGAAAATTCAATCAATTGCATAAACTTTTTTTAATGACTTGAAATGTTTCTAATTACTTAATCGAATAAATTTGTTAAAGTCCCATACTTAATATGAAATTTTTTTTTTCATTTGTTAGGTGGTTTGGCGGTACCTCCTGAATGTTTATCCTGATGGACTGACAGGTCAGGAGAGAATGGACTACATGAAGAAGAAGACAAGGGAATACGATCAGCTGAAGAAGGAATGGACCGCCCGGGTCAGCCATGAGGACCTGGAATTTATCCGTGGGAATGTTCTAAAAGACGTCCTGAGGACAGACCGGGCTCATCCATACTATGCAGGCTCAGAAGACAGTCCACATCTAACTGCCCTCACAGATCTACTCACCACATTTGCCATCACACATCCTCAGGTTTGGAGGCATGATCAGCTTTTGATAATGCATGAAAAAAGGTTCAATTTCACTTAGAAAAGGCAAATAGATGTAGCAGTTTTAAAAACAAAGGCTACTCTTTGGTGCTTTCACCTTAGGTGATAAGTGGACAGATTGTTTTATGAGTTCAGCAGATCGGTCATCAAACTAAAAATTTAGATACAGTACATTAGTACAGTTTTTTCCCATCTGACCGTTGCATTATTCAAGTTGCTTTTTACTTGACTCTTTGTAAATTATAGAATCCTGTTATTATTTTAAATACTGAGATGGGAAAAGTTCAGCTTTTGCATACATGTTGTGATTGACCCCTGACATTGGCAAGTTTTTAAAGTTCCAGTGGTAAAATTTTTTTGTTTTTTCCTGGTTTAATATTGAAACAAATTTCTCTCCATACTGCATCTGCTGGAAATTGTTTAAATAACTAATAATGATGGCTTTCTTATTCTATAATATTTCTAAGGAAATTATGTGATAGACTGTTTTACAAACATGGCTTAATGCATTGAGAATTTAGACCGCCTGTTCCAGAGTCCCATTTCACAAAGCTAGTCTAACAAACTCAGACTCAAAACCTCAAGTCCGAATTGATCTAGCCTAAGGTTGGAGACTGAGTTTTCAGTTTCACGACGCTGCTCTCAGGTCATTCATCTTTGAGTAGGTCCACTGAGACTTGAGTGGACAAACTCAGAGTGGAGAATGAAGTACAAAAGCATTGTTTAAACAGGTAGGACCCGTGCATCTTTTCACTGGGTAAATCCTTATTTTGGGTCCGTCTTCTATTATATAGTAAATTCTAAATGGGCATTTGACTGTGCAGTTGTTTTCTATAATGCTGTTATCACACACATCAATGTGCTCTCACTAAAATCAAGTTCTCTTGAATGCCTGTTAAAGAGGTCTTTGTAATGTTGTAAATATGAGGACAGACAAGGTCGTGGATGTTTGTGATGGATTGTGAGGTGAAACGGTAGCGCTCACAAAGATAACTGATTATAAAGGATATCTATACGTGGTCTGAGAACTCTCCCTTTTTAAATATTTAATTATTTAATTGGAGCCTCTTCAAAAGGAGATGCAGTGTTTTTTTTTTAAACACTTGACGTCTCTAACAGTGCAGGATCTGAAAATCACTGTGGGGAAGCGAGAATAGCACATTATCTGATCCATCCCCGCATATGCGGTTTTTATTATGCGGGAAGTTCCCTATTTTAAAAAATAATGGGGATGTGTAGCTACTACTGTGGACGTTTTCGGATTTAGACCAGGAAGAAAATCTCCGCTGTTCTTCTCTTTTCATTTTTCTTCTTTTTCTCTTAGAGCACAGTTAAGCTTTTGGCTAGCAAACCAGTGGTTATAGTATTAAATGTCATTAAACTTTATTCCAAATATGGATTGCTGGATAAAACACAAACACAGAAGAACCAGCTTCTAAAAAAACTACACAAATCAAAAGCGCAGCTGGACACAGGGATGTCGGTTATTGACCCAGATACCGCTGATCCTGTGTCAATACCACTAACCAGCCGAAAGATAAGTTTCAGCCTAACTGGCTTAAGCTACATCCCCTGTGAAACTAGCTGCTCCATCTGTAAAATGTACAGTCCTTTACCCTTTACCAGCCAAAGCTGTAAAACCTGACTTTTGCGCTCCCGACACTCTGATGGTTTTTCACCCACTGCAGCAGGAAACATGACGTGGATTCAGCTTAAAATGTCATGGTCAAAACTATCCATGACGCGCAAGTGTAGCGTGAAGATGACCTTAACCCCACAGTTAAGTGAGGACAAAGGAGATCATGCAAAGGAAAGGGCAAGAGAGAGCAGCTGAAAACAGCTAGGAAGACAAAAGTTGGAAAATGAAAGCAACATATTAATCTGAGGTATGATTAGCACAACATAAGACCCGTAATCATTCACTAGTTATACCCCCAAAGTGCATAAATGCCCCAGCTGTCAAACATATAAGGGGGGATTTCCCCCCAATTTCAAAAGTGAATTTCAGGCACTGCAGTAAATAAGTTTTGTTTGTTTGTTTGCAAAACTTTGACAAATCTCTCCTGACTAGGAAATAAAACACTGCAATTGGCTTTAAAGGAAAAGTCCAGTCAGCAAGGAATAACCAATTGGTCATAACTTATACCTAAAACTAATATGTTTGTGGTGATTTAATGAATTTAGCATTCATCACTAAAGAAATAAGAAATCAATATTTTTCGCGATCATTGAGTCCGGGAACGGCTATTTTTGCCGAAATATAGTAACACCTCTCTTCCGCCATCTTCCAGCAGTGACGTCACGGTGCGGTAAGCCTAGCGCCATTCTCCCCGCTTTACAAGCTAAATCAATGGGAACTACTAGACACATCTGCAATCAACAACAATTATTGAAGATTTCCAGAGGACTTCACCATTGAAATTCACCAGAGCTATAGTGAAACTGACAATGCCCACATGCATGGCAGTTGGATGTTGTAATTCATCGGGTAGAAGTGATAAAAAAACATTAGTTATTTCACCTTTCTGATTCATGATCCACCACGGGTTCATCATTGGATTGCCAACTGGAAGAGGGAGGATTTTGCCATCAAACTTCTGGCCAGAGAAAAAAAACGTTTTTAATTTGTTACTCTCTGCTTCGCATAGTACACTGGTCGTTGTTATCTTGGATAATAGCACGTTGTGACAAACACCAGATACAGCACTGGGACTTGATCAACAGCTAATACCGCACCGTGACGTCACAAACCGGTAGGTGGCAGTAGTGTTCTTTGACAAACATGGACGCGTCCAGTAAAGCACAGTCAAATGAAATTAGTCTTAAAGGAATAGTACACCCAAAACATGATTAGCCTTCATTTTCTACTCACCTCCATGCTGAACAACACTCTGGAGTACTTTTTTGATATCTCAAATGCATCTGGAGATCTGGGAGGCTTCTTGCTGTCTGCTGACATTCAAATAATGGAGGTCCATGGCGCCCGAGACAGAAAGGTCCATAAAAGTCCACAAAAACGTGTCAATATTCCTCCATACTGCTCGTCCAATGTAATCCAAGTGTCCTGAGTGGGTAGCATCCAGAATTTACTCGAAACGAAGTCATTTAGAATGTTTTTAGAGCATAAACAGTAGTGTATAGGATTTCCTAATAGCGCCCCCATGCGCGCTCACGATTCTACGGAAGCCGGCAGACCAAACCGGAAGGAAGTGCGCATTCAGCGTCTGGTCTGCCGATAATGCAAGCGTAGAAGAAGAAATGTGCTGTTTACCTGTGCAAAGAAAGAAACAACGAAAGAAAAATGTCTGAGGACTTCAGTGTTGAGGAAGAGCATGAGTTCTTTGCCGAGCTGAATGCGCTGGTTTGGTCTGCCGGCTTCCGTAGAATCGTGAGCGCGCATGGGGGCGCTATTAGGAAATCCTATACACTACTGTTTAGGCTCTAAAACGTTCTAAATGACTTCGTTTCGAGTAAATTCTGGATGCTACCCACTCAGGACACTTGGATTACATTGGACGAGCATTATGGAGGAATATTGACAAGTTTTTGTGGACTTTTGTGGACCTTTCTGTCTCGGGCGCCATAGACCTCCATTATTTGAGTGTCAGCAGACAGCAAGAAGTCTCCCAGATCTCCAGATGCATTTGAGATATCAAAAAAGTACTCCAGAGTGTTGTTCAGCATGGAGGTGAGTAGAAAATGAAGGCTAATCATGTTTTGGGTGTACTATTCCTTTAATTAGTATTTAATAATTTCATACTTTAAGTACTTTCAGAAGTTTGTATTCTAAATGTGACCGGACCTTTCCTTTAAAGCTACAGTGTGTAATAATTACAGACATCTTTGCGCTACGGCAGCGCAGAGCCAACAAACTAGCGATTGCGAGATCGCCCATTACGCTTGAAAGAAACTACGGCAAGTTGAGCGAGATGAACTGAGACGGTACTGAACAATAGATGGCAGTATTAAAATTATCTATGTAAACAAACCTCATCACTTGAGAAGGTAGGTGATGCGGACGTCGTGGAAGACATTTTGTCCCGTAACGCTCGCCGTACTGTTGGGGGGGAGAAGCGGTGGGGGGGAGATGTTCATGTTGCTGCGGTCTGCAGTCTGGACGTTAGATGTCGCTGTAAATTAAACACTGTAGCTTTAAGGCGGGAGGAGACAGAGGAGTTTATTGAGAAAAACCTGCTCCTGACCAGGTGGGCTCTGGGGAGAATGTTACTTCTGTAACAGAAACAGAGGTTGAGTGAACTCGCTTTGTGAAACAGAAAATTCAGTTTTGCTGATTTCAGGTTTAGAAAACTAAAAGAGCTTTCAATAAACCAGCTTTGTGAAACGCACCGCGGGTCAACAACGTCCTTCTTCTGGCTAGGTTAGTAACCAGATGTGATTAAAGCCATTTGTTGGACCTGATGAAAGTGAGGAATATTACAGAAAATATGTATATTTCAGGGTATGAAGTTTTTAAAAGTCTGAATTTATGGATAAAATCTATCCATGAAAAAGGTAAGTATAGATCATTACAGTCTGACAATTAAAGCTACAGTGTGTAATAATTACAGGGATATACAGTCAGAAATGTAATATATTATACATAACTATGTTATTTAACATCATCTACGAGCTCAGCCTCTTAACCTTAATATTTGCGTTGCCTTATATTCGTTATTTATAATTACATAGGAGCGGGTCTCGCAGCCATGGAGGCAGACATCTTTGCGCTACGGCAGCGCAGAGCCAACAAACTAGCGATTGCGAGATCAGCCATTACGCTCGAAAGTAACTACGGCAAGTTGAGAGAGATGAACTGAGACGGTACTGAACAATAGATGGCAGTATTAAAATTATCTATGTAAACAAACCTCATCACTTGAGAAGGTAGGTGATGCGGACATCGTGGAAGACATTTTGTCCCGTAACGCTCGCCGTACTGTTGGGGGGAGAAGCGGTGGGGGGAAGATGTTCATGTTGCTGCGGTCTGCAGTCTGAACGTTAGATGTCGCTGAAAATTACACACTGTAGCTTTAAACTGACAACTGCTCGTAACCACAGTAAACTTTTATCACGAGTTGAGATTAAACCATTTGATCAGAAAATCCTGATTTTTTTTTTTTTTTTTTTCTGATCGACCTGGGATAAAATCTTGCTAGATATGTTTTCTAGAAATTATATGTAATATCAAACCTTGGACTTTATATTTAAAAAGCTAAATTGTGTGGAGCATCTGGCCTTTCTTAAATCTTATTTTCTTGTTTTTTAATTAGCTGGTTGTTGAAAGTACTTTTTATGTTCTTAGGTTTTCTAAATTTCTGCTTATGCTGTTTTTCAGATATCTTACTGCCAGGGCATGAGTGACATTGCATCACCTATACTTGCCGTAATGGACAATGAAGCACATAGCTTCATTTGTTTTTGTGGCATTATGAAACGCTTGGAGGGGAACTTTCGGCCTGATGGGCAGCTCATGTCTATAAAGTTCCAGCACCTGAAGCTGCTTCTCCAGTACTCCGATTCAGAGTTCTACAATTATCTGGTGTCCCGTGGAGCCGATGACCTTTTTTTCTGTTATCGATGGCTTCTGCTGGAGCTCAAGCGAGAGTTTGCATTTGATGATGCTTTGAGGATGCTGGAGGTAACTTGGAGCTCCCTGCCCCCAGATCCCCCAGAAACTGAAGTTGAGCTTCTGGGGCCACTGCTAGACGGAGACGAAACAACATTGTGCAAAGACAAGTCTTTGGTTAACTGCCTCAAAGATGATGAGGTACAAAAAGAGAAGCAGCGTAGACGACATATGCTCAGACCATCAAGAGAGGAACCAGATATCGGAAGAAACCCCATCCCTGAAGAGAAAGGCCATCACACTGTAGGTTCTGGTATAGAAATGGAGGCAAATGAATATGATCATTCCAAAGAAATCACAGCCAAGTCAGATTTGCAGGGCTACTTCTATCAGAGACAGAGCAGCTTTGGAGAGTTTAAATACTACACAGCCAGAAGCGAAGGCAGCTTTGACACAGAGAATGCAGAGCATCCACAAGTTTCAGTCACTCTGGAAGCAAAGAACCCGAGGCGGCAGTCAACAGTTTACAGTGAGGATGACCCTGGGGAAAGAACACCTCTTATTAAAAACTCTGACTATGATTTACCTGCAGTCTCGCCGAGTGTGCATCCCTGTAAAACTGGCTCATCTGGCTCTTCCACATCTTCATTTTCAAACTCCAGCTGGCCAGAAGTTACTCTAGACTTTCCTCCATCTGGAGCCAACAGAAATGAAACTTCGCCAGGAACTGGCTCAGAGTTATTACCTTCTTCAAGAAAGGATCTTGGCTCTCCAGCAGCTGCTTGTGAGAAAACAGCAGTTAATTCTCCATCTTACACTCAGAACAGATCCCAGCTCTCTTCACCCATTCTGCCTTTTGGCGAAAGCTCCTCATTATCAGGGAACAGGTCCCCAGCTATTAACCTGCCTTCGCCTGGCAACAAATCCCCCAGCACCAAAGCTAACACACCCAGCTCTTTAAAATCTGAAAGCACCAGCATAAAACCATGCTCTTTGCCTCCTCCTGATGAATTTGGCAAAGGGAATCCCTTCATGCTGTTCTTGTGCCTGTCTATCTTGCTGGAACACCGGGACCATATCATTAAGAACAACATGGACTATAACGAGATAGCCATGCACTTTGATCGCCTAGTGCGACGGCACAACCTTAGCAGGGTGCTGCAGAGAGCCAAGACCTTGTTTGCAGACTATTTACAAAGCGAGGTCTGGGACTCTGAAGAGGGGGGCGAGGTTAGCTCAGACTCCCCAACAACAGCTGCTCCCCAAACCTCCTCTTCAACCATCTCTGCCAGGACCATTTACAGCCCGCTGGCCTCGCCCCCATCATCGCCAAACTCAACTTATAACCTGACCAGCACCATTCCTAACCCTTCAAAACAAGTCTCCCTTCCTCCCGTATCGTGATCCTATCCCGTGTCCGTGGATCTTGACTGGATCCCTGAATAGACTCCCTTATACTCTTATTTATTTATTTTTTTTGTTGACCTGTAGATCTTTTTTTACACAGCCTCCCTATTAAGCTGGTCTTATATTTTTTACGGAATGTGTCATCACTGTATTCCTGTTTAATCTCTGATCTATCCAAACTGTGGGCTTTGACAGGTGTTATTGAGGTCTGTTTCTTATAGGTTATGTGTATTCTGGAACTGTGGTGATTTGCTTTCTGCATTCAGGCTCTGGATTAATCTTTGTTCACAAGATCACTGTAAGCATCAGCCCTGAAAATAAGTCAATTTCAAGAGAGAGAATATTCAAAATCTGGTTTTAATAAATAGCATATTAGTTTCTCTTAAACAAATTTTTGATATCTTATATCTCAGTGTTGATACTTATCCAAACCACTGTATTGTTGGATTTAATACCATCCACCAAGAAATCCATCTAGCCCATCTGATATTGCTAAATCATTGTTAGTTATACTATTCTAAATGTGTTCATATATTAAGGCTTCAAGACATGCAATTTTATGAAAATTAACAGCATGGCTTTTAAGGTTGCTGTAATTAAACCTCTGCTTAAGAAACCGTCTCTTGACCCAGATGACTTGGTCATTTATAGACCTATATCCAATCTTCCTTTTCTTTAAATCTTATCCATCTGATCGATTACAGTATTTTCACGTTAATGACAAATCCTCCTCATGCTCAAAGGTTACCTGTGGAGTACCACAGGGATCAGTGCTAGGACCAATTTTTAGGGACCCCTATTTCATCATTCTGCTTCATTCTATCTCTATTCTCCCACTCTGCAGAATCTGTTAGCTCAATCTCTAACGTTCTGCTCTCTCTGCTTTTGCTAGTAGCTTTGCCTCGTCTGTTTCTGTTTGGCTGTAACTCCATCCTGGAGAGAAATATCAGCTGTGCTGCTGCCATCAAAACCTTTGTTTATAGATTTTGGAGATCGGCCTGTTTTCCAGTGTAGTCCTGTTTCTCTGACTGACTGGTTGGATGCGCTCTCTTCATCCTCTGACATGGGAGCTGGCTCGGAGCTCGTCTGCCTGGCTGTGTGTTTCCTGGATGGGACCGCCTTTTATAGCTGCTTTGTGTATCTCTGCTTCTTTCTCCTTGAACCCCAGTCGGCCTCGGTAGGTTGTCGCTCACACTGAGCCTGGTTCTGCTGGAGGTTTCTTCTTAAAAGGGAGTTTTTTTCTCTCCACTGTTGCTACAAGCACGCTTAGTGTGAGGGATTGCCTTTGAGTCAATGAGTCGATGCAATCAACTGGTTTTCCTTAGATAAAAAACTTTGAATCAATTTGACTGTATGATCCGTTGAACTGTAAAGTGCCTTAGATGACATATGTTGTGAATTGGCGCAATAAGAGAATAAAAAAAGATTAATTTTGCAAATATGACTAGATCTCTTAACATTCATTCCTTTTGCTAAAAATGAGATTTCAGCTGTAAACCTCTTACTTTGTTAAAAGGTAATTATAGCCTTTTCAGCATTGTCCAGCTCTTCAATCCTGAGACTGCTGACATTTTTGTTCAGGATTATCCTTCATCTGGATCTTCCTTCTACTGTTGTGAAGAAATAATTCTTTAACTCTTATAATCTGTGCCATTTCACTTTTCAAATGAATTCAAGGTGAAAAATGTTGAATGAATTGAGAAACTGATTCCACTTATTGTGCTGTATGAACAGCATTCACAGTTGTCTTCATTTTTTAATTATTTGATGAGATTTCTTTCACTTCATCAGGATTTTTAGGCCACTCTTCATGAGGTAGCAGAAGAAATAGAGGCCAAGAGAACCACATTTTTTTTATGTTTCAAAAAGGATGGAACTGTTAAACCTCGAGAAGCCATAACTGCAGGATTGCTATTGATGTCAACATGTCTCCATTGCAGAGTGTTTAAAACTTTGACAATTTCAGAAATTCTGTTGGCACCAAAAGTTCAGTAACTTGTTGTTTTATTGTTGATATGTATCAGTACATAGATACTATCAGTCCAAAATACTGAGTCCTTTAGTTCCTTCTTCCACATTACATCCATTCTGCTTGCTAATGTGGCAGCATTTAACTCCATTTGAGGAATTGTAATCGGTTTTAAAGGAGCGACACATGCCTTTCTCATAACAGACATGCAGGGTGTCTGCTTTGGTTCATCCCTTTGTAAAAGATAGGTTATTGTTCCATAACTATCCTCAGAAGGGTCTGCAAAATGATTTTCATGGTTCCAAAGCCACTGTGATTGAACCAGTGCTCAACTTTAAAGTCTTCCAACATATGGAGATTTTCAATCCATGTTGTGCATTTCTGTATAACAATTGAACTTTATTGTCACATTGGGGAAATTTACCTCTGCATTTAATCCATCCCCTCTGGGAGCAGTGGGCTGCCATCATTGGGGTTCCGTGGAGCAGTATGGGGTTAAGGCTCTTTGCTCAGAGACCCAGAGTTGCAGTTTGTTTGAGGCGGGCTTGAACTCAGAACCTCTGGATTCCTAGCTCTATGCCGTAACCACAAGGCCGCCACTCCCCCCAGAATGATTGCATTAGGAAGTTCATCATCCCATCCAATTTTTCTTCAACACAGGTTTTGTAGAATCTTCTTGGCTGGTAAGATTCCTGGCGCCAACATTCTGAGGGGATCATAGACAGAGCTGACATCAGAGAGAATCCCCCGTCTTGTCAGGGGTCGATCTTTCAAAATCATTCTGAACATGAAAAACACCACTGGACACTCAGGACTCTCTCCACTGGAAGTTAATCTTTGGAAAAATCTAGAGGCTTTATTTATTTTGAAACCATCGAACAGTGATGGGAGTAACGGCGTTGAAACGGCGTTACTAACGCTGTTACCCTTTTTTAGTAACGAGTAATCTAACTAATTACTTTGACTATAACTATACCATTGCCGACACCCTGTTACTGCACGTTACTCGGGTCGCACAATGAACCTTTTTTTCATGATAGGACTTGTGCGCGCCTTGTCATGAGATAGGGGAGGATGAGATTGGCTGATGTATAGTGAGATTCCGTCTGTCAGTTGGGTAGGTGGGTGTTTCCACTGGCGGATTTTAATGTACAGCACACAGAGAGATGGAGAGTGAGGAGGACTCCAGCAGTAAAACTGTGTTTTCCAGATGGAAATACTGGTGTTACGTCGAGCTGCTTTTCCCCATCAGATACGGTTTCCCCTACATCTCTGCACAGTGCAGTCGGCACGATTCACAAAATCAAAAGCAGTATAATAGTCACAGCTTTTCCTTCACCGAACTTACAGGCTTCTGTTAAAGTAAAAAGTTCAGTCTGAGCTAAGAAGGTTTTTGGCAAAGAACGACAAACAAGAGTTTCATGAAGCAAATCCAACCTTGGTAACACCATTTTCAGGGTTGCAAGAAGCTGTACAATCAACAACAACAGCGCTGGATATACCAATCAAACATCAGACATGTCAGGCAGACCTAGGTGTGCTTACCTAATCTGGCAGTATAGCAATCATTTCTGTCCTCTGCTGCTAAGAATTACCTAAATTGATAATTTTCCTTTAGACAGGCATTTTATTCTCTTATTTAGACACTTTACTGGTTTCTGCTCTAAATTACCAACCCAAATTCCACATGAACTATTCCAGATGGGGAAAAAAATCTATAAAGATCCTTATGAGTTGTATTTTTTGTTTTTCTCTTGTTTTATATTTCTCTCCCCGCCCTTTTTTCAACGTGATCATGGCATATGGCACAACAATTAAATAATAACTTAAACAATAAATTAACACAGTTCCTTGCTTATTTTAAGAAATACCCAATTGTCAAATAAACAAAATCTGTTAATTTGTTTAAACTGTTTCATTAACTTTTATTTGTGAAATCTGAACCTCATACCAATCACCTTCATTCCTAATTTAAATAGCTTTGCATTAACTTTAACACATATAACTCGCTGTTTTGTTTTGAAAACAGGTCAGAGGAAAGAATGAGCCATAGACACTAGAAACTGTCCTGTTTTACAGTTCAAGCTGAACTATTTGCACACCTCTATTTCCCCAAGACAAAAGTAGCTAAATTGTCATTTCACAAATTGACAACAGACATTCGACAAGCTACAGACACCTGAAACGACAAACAGAAAACAAACAAATGGCAATAATTTTTGTGATCAAACTTTCTAACTTACTGCATGCAAAATGTTGTGTGTGTGTGAGGCCTTTTTCTTTCACTAGGGAGGTTTAGTCAGATTCCTGGAGGTTCCGTAAAGATGAAACCCGCCCATCTTTACGGAACCTCCTGTAACTGGGTCAACTATAAATTGGCAGCTTCTCAGTCCATGTATCTGCTGGTCATTAAACACTAGTCAATAACCAGCGAATCAATTATTCTGCTGTAACCCTAACCTTGCATAAAAGGGAGATCTCTCTGAAACCTTGTCACCCCTGACCTTAGACTCGCCTTTTATGTCCCAGTCCCAGTAGAAAGCATTATCAGCCATTTATAACTGTATTTCAGGTGCTAGTCCTGTAAGTAAGGATTTTTTGGGGGGGTTTATCATCCCACATTTAAATCTATTAAGTGGGTTTCACTCTCTTTTAAACATACTTGCTTTCAATCCGAATCAGATTTAGAAATACTTTAATAATCCCAGAGGGAAATTACTTCAATGTGCCAAAAAGCATTATTTTGCTCTTTCAGGAAAAGATGCCAAGGATTTAATTATTTAATCCACCATTTTAGTTTATAAACTGAAAGCTTTTATGTATTTTAGTTGGATATTCCAAACTACATCTAATAGATCTAGTAATCTGTAGTGTAACATATTGTATAACTTTAAGGTATGAAAATCACTCATTTCATTGTTCATAAATTTGAAGTGATATACATGTATATTAATATTTGGGGCAAATGAAAATCCAATTATCTTAGATTTACATTTAGAAAAATCTAATTCAGATCAACATGGCCTATAACTATAGATTTTTTTTCTTATTGGATATATTCATTCTTTTTCTTCTTCTATAAGGTTCTATTTTTTTTTAGATTTTCAACACAGCACAAACAGAGCAACCATCACCTTTCCTCTCTCTTGGTCAGAACCTCAGACACAGGGAGAAAAATCAACATCAATCAACATATCACAAATCATGAAGAGATTAAGCTAAATCTCTCCCAGTGGCTGTTGTTTAAACAGAAAATTTGGTTTATAATTTTTCAGGGCTTTAATTTTGAAATTTCACATTAACGAGGTTTAGTCACATCTGGAGGTGATCAGCTCTCATTCTGAATTTAAAGCATTTACTAAAAACATACAACTCTTAGGAACACGATTGATTGCAACTTTGCATAATCAGAGAAAAACTGCAGATTTTGAGGGGCTTTAAATTTTAAGTTCCACGTGATTTAGTTTGGGATTGATGATTCACTTGAAGGGCTTCATTTGTAGATAAAACTAGTCAAGTGAAAAACATTTTTAAAACCATTAAATGTCCAATGAGATGTGTTTTGGGGTTGGTATAAAAGGGTTAAGATGTTTTCTGTCAGAACAAGAAAAATAGCATAAAGCTGAAGAAATTATTAATTATGTCAA